CACTATACATGGTAATAGAATTTTCTGACATTTATCCCCCTAGAAAAATGCAACATCTTTAATAAAACACAGTATGAAGTAGAGATCCTAATTTCAGCACATTACAACACAGACTGCAAAATAGAAGACATGCAAAACCTAAGGCAAGTAGCTAAAAACAAATTTATTCCAAGAATTATGAGTGCGAATAAAAACTTCTCATTGATACCAGAATAATTGCAAAATCTGGGTTGTCAATTGCATGTTCCACATTGCAAAATCAAAAATATGTCCATATTTCAAGTAACACTAAACACAACAGAGACTGTTTATAAAGTTTTTCAAATATCCCTACTGTGGTATGTAATTATAGGCTGTTGCTCTGCAAATGGTTGATGAAATCTAACAGATTTTTTTTTAAGTAAGGCATCTATAATCTTGTAAAAATGTACCTCATAAATATTGCCCTACCCCCAAAACAGAGGTTTTTTTTTTATTGTTTCGTGTGTGGTGTGTTGGATTTTTATTTTGCCTTTATTTTATGACTGCTTTACCTCCATTCGCAAACTATTTGCCTATGTGTAAATAATATGAAAACTAAATCAAGGTTCATGCTACATTAATGACAGGTATCTTGTAATGATAATGCCCAGCACATAAGAAATTATCCCTCTCTGATGAATAGCTGTTCTGTTCTCACTAGGTAAGTGCTGCGAGCCTCACTCCTTAACCTTGCTGCCCCTGGATGTGTCGCTATATGGGAGCACATACTTCTTTGGAAGCATCACTTTAAAAATTACATGAGCAGAGAAAAACATATCCTAAGGCATCAAAAATCCCTCAGTCCTCTTTGTAAAGGAATTAGAACCTCTGAATAAGCAAACCAAAAACAGAAAAGCAGAATTAGGACAACCCCAAATGCCATCCAAACCAACATGGTAACCTGAGTTACTCCTGTTTTTCTATGAACATATTTCCGATTACTGGAGACAAGTGCTCTCTTTGGCAGTACATATACTAAAATTACTGCAGACAAGATCATATTCGACAGTAGCACCCTAACTCCCTGAGGAAGTGGGAATGTTTAGTCAAGCAGTCCAATCAGACATATCAAATATCCATCCACAAAAGCAGCAGACAGGAATATGCACATTTTTCCCCCTCTATACAAGCAATATGGCTATTTCATTGATAGTAAGGTTCTGATCATCTGAAAAGCATTCCAAACATCTATGTCTTATTAATTGTTCACAACTCATAAATACAAAGTAGCAAAAGCTTGGAAATACTCAGTAAAGCAAATATATAGGTGGACCAGAATAAAATTATACTGATAAAAATGTTCTATGTTATACAGAAGGAACTAAGACCTCCCAAATATATTTTCATTAAGAATTCTAGAAAACCATGCCATGCTATTTTTTTCAACAAAAATAATATGTCCTTCTGACCTTTTTGTAAACCACATGGAAAGTATTTATTTCAGTCTGTCTTTTCCAAACAGAATTTAATCACACACTACAAATTTCATCAATAACATGAAAAAGATACATAGAACATGATATAGAAAAGCTGTCCTCTTTTTATCATGTCTACTTGAAAAGCATGCAATTTAAAATGTCACTTGAAAAGAAGAAAAGATAACATAATATGTCAAGAATTTCATCGCAAATAAATTAACAATATCACATATACTGAACTCATTCAAATACTCATATCAGCTTTGCCAAAATTATTGGTGTTTTTTTATTACAAATTACAAGCTCAAACCAGAGGCACTTACAGTGTCTTAAAACAGGCAACAGCACAATAACCTTACTTGCTCACATATAATCTGCCAGAGATTATCAGCATGCATGAATTTAACAGGGCTCCCACAAAACTGTTACGTTCTTTTTTATTAAAACACACAAAGTATTAAATAGGATGAAAAATATAACATATAACATTAAAAAGAAGCTTCTAACCCTAAATGGAAGCTAAAGTCATCACTAAGCACGGGAAAATTAACATCTTGAAAAAGAAGATTATTTACTCAACAAATATTGATTGACTATCTGCTGAGTGTCAGGAGTGTTAGATGCCCTTAAAGAGCCCACAGGTGGGCACAGGTAGACAAATAAGGACAAAATTACAGGATAATGAGGTCAACACTACAGGAGAGCTGTCTGGCACATGGAATGAAGGAGCCCCATGGAACTTGAAACAAATGGCATTACTTTAAATCCAGGTTCAGAATGACGATGGATAAAGACCAATGTTCTGTTTTCTAGAAAAGGTGCAGTGATGGACTGTCTGGGGGAGGTCCACTATCATGACCTCTCATCCTCAGAAACCACTAGTAGGTCATGGTCACCTTAAGTAACTGTCACAAACATTCCCTTCCATTTAATCAGGCGTAAACTAAACTCGCATTATGATGTGGAAAACACATCATAAATACATACCTAGAAATTAAACAACTATGTATGGCCTTATGATGACGGGATTTCTAAATGTAACTTAAGAAAAATAGATGCAGTTACACTTCGTTTACTGAGCTACCATAAATATTTGGAGAACATTTAAGAACTTGGAAGGTAGCAAAAGAGTACATTAAGTAGGCAAAATAAATGTCAGAATCTGCTCCCTAAAACATTACATAACAGGTACCAAAGCCCAAAACTCACTCAAAACATGTACTTTTATTTTAGAGACGATTCTAATAAGCAAACCAGGAAACAAGGGTCTTAAGAGTGGTCACAGACACACTGGCCATAAAATAACAGGTCTCGGCTGGCAAGAGAGAGAAGATTCAAAGAAAGCAGAAAGAAATAACGTAAAATGTGTAGTTTGAAGACCTTCAGTGCAGAGCAGATTTTACAGAATAGAACTTAAATATAACTATGGTCTCTTTCTTTGCCCGTTCCCTTTCCTATTCAACTTGTAAATTCTTGCAGGCACATTCAATATTACCATACTGGTTCATCAGTATTTGTAACAACATTTTTTTTTTCTTTATGGAAGGACACAATTGGGTGGAGGGGGTAGAGAAGGAGGGTTATATTCAGGGAAATAGCAGGTTACTTTTTTTTTTTCACATTTCAGAATTCTTTACTCTAAAGAAGCTGTTTTGTGTTTTGTTTTGTTACCTACATGTGCGTAAAGCTCTTTATAATATACCATTCTGGGAAGACCAGCATTTTGAAAAATATGAAATAATGCTCTGGCAATAAGTGTAATTAAAATGCTGTTCAGAGGCATGGTACAGGACTTCTATATCTCAAGGTACATAGCAACTGATGGCAGCATAGTCACTCCTGTTGAGGAGAGTATCGTAATGAACAAATTTCCAATGTCTGCTTCTAGGAGATGCTTTTTATGTCTGTGTTGGCAGATTCCACTGGCACATGGCCCACATTCAACAGGAGTTCATATCCTTAGATTTTTACCTCCTTTTTTTTTTTTTTTTTTTTTTTTGGCTGCTGCACAAACATTTTCAGTGCTTTCTAAATGGCATAAATATTTTCAGGGTTTTGACAGGCAGCAAAGAGAAAATTAATTTCCAAGTGTCTCCATTTTGTTCCCTAACGCCATCCACTGACATCTGGCTTCAAAGAACAGGATCACCCCTACCAGAGCTGCTAGGCTCTGTCAGCAACTTCTCTCCCCACTGTAGCCTTCAGTTTGTTAAAGATGCAACTCTTCCAAATGGTGGAGTTAATGTTATCTTAGGCTGTGTATTCAGAATGGGCAGAAAAAGCCTCAACAGAGAGATGAAAATTTGAGCCCAGATGTCCTACACTCCTCTAAATTGTGATGTTCACAGATCAAACTTGCAAAGGATGTATTTTAAAGAACTAGAAGCTGATGTTACCCACCCTTTATAGTAAAAGCCGTTACAGGTAATACTGATTTTTTTTTTTTTTTTAGTAAAGTTGACCCCAGGAGGATATCAGCTTTAATTTTCACTAAGTTGCAACTATTGTATGCTCAATGGCTTGTAGGTAGACAACTTCATGCAAAAATAATTGACTCTATGTAACATGGATGATTACACACTCATTTGACAACTCTATGTTTCTTTTGTAACAAACTTATTTTTTCTCCTTGAGTAGTACCATCAATTTGGGCCTAAACTGACTGCAAAAGCCAAAACTAAAATTAATTACTAAATAAAGGATCATCATAGATAAACAAAATGCAGTGTGTGTGTGTGTACAATGGAATATTATTTGGCAACAAAAAGGAATGAAATACTGATTCATGCTACAATATGGATGGACCTTGAAAACATTTTGCTAAGTGAAAGAAGCCAAATACAAAAGGCTACATACTGTATAATTCCATTTATTTGAAATGTCCAGAATACTCAAATCCATAGACAGAAAAAGTCGAATCGTGGTTACCAGGGGCAGAAGGGAGTAGGGAATGGGGATGGAGTTTCATGTAGGATGATGAAAATGTCCTAAAATGAGATAGTGGTGTTGACTGCACAACTTTGTGAATATATTAAAAACTGCTGAATTAAACATTTTAAAAGGGTGAATTTTATGGTATGTGAATATCTCAATAAAATTGTTATTTTTTTTAAAGACTCAATAGCTGATTAATGACCCTCCAAGTAGAGGAATTCTAAATATAAGAGGACTAAATTTTCAACGACAGCACTTCGAGTTTTATCACAGTGACCTAATCTTTATATCCTGGGATCTATTAAGCCTATAAAAGTGTTCCTCTTTACTTTCAGAAACAAAATCTCCTTTTACAAGACACAGTGAAAGAGTAGTAACTTCAATGAAGGACTTATTCATATAGCAGAGCTCTTTGTTGACAAAGTACCTTCTATATTAACCTGTCTAATGTAATTTATTAAGCCAACAGGCAGCCCTAAGGAAATATTGGGTCATCCAAATATTTGGCAATCACAAAAGAATTTTCAGGTAATTACTCCACAATCAACTAAAGTATCAAATCTAGATACATCTACTGCTTTGCAATTAGTAGCAATGAATATAGAAAATGTAAATATGAATACTGACCTTGTTTCTTTTAACCCTTCCTTCTGAATAACTTCCAATATCTGCTTCGCTGTCATTGGTGAGTTGGGGTGTTTTTCTAATGCCTAAAAAATAAAAATAAACATAAAATTCCTAGATTATTGTATGGAAGCATACAAAATAAAAATGTGTGAATCATGCAATTGTTCCTTAACATTTTAAAGGGGGAGGGGCTGATATGTCAAAATAAGATCCCATCACACAGTTCAGGTATCCAAAGTGAGAATGTAATTTTTTTCTGGAAATTAATGGCAATTTCTTCAATGGGGTTGGGGGTCATTATTTTAAAAAAAAAATGTCACAAAGGCATACACCCACAAAAAAAAAAGAAAGAAATGTGAAACCTGAAAAAACCAAGTTAATAAATGTATATAATTTTATTTAAAATTGCTAATATTTTATGGTTAAAGACAGACTTTCAGGCTACTAAAATGTTTTCTAAACTTCCAGGACTTTGTAAACATGGAGCCTGAACACTACCAATAGCAGAGAACAAAGTGCAAGTTAGAAATAACCTCACTGGATTAGTTTTATCAACTTCTTTTGTATTAAAAAAAAATGAGGAAAAAAAAATCCTTCATGGTCAAAATGGAAAAAAAGCATACATACAGAAACCCAAGTAAGTCATTACACTGTGTGTTCCAGTTCAGCTCAGTTTCCTTTCTTCTGCCTTTTTCAATTAATTTCAAGTAAACCCCTTCCTCTTCCCATTCAGCCCATCTCAGTTTTATGAACTGAGTCCCATTTTTCTTTCTCTCCCCTTCTGGCCTCCTTATTTTTTAGTGGAAGGGAGTTCTTTTAAAGTGTGGGGAATACATGGGACATAGCTCACTGTTTCCATAGGCATTAGACCATCAGACCTGGAAATCAAATTCCTGTATTTATCCAGGGATTTAACTACCTGTAAAGAAAGCAATAAACACTGTTCACCAGCACGGACTCAGGGGCCACCTCTGGGAATGAGAAACAAGTCTACACATATCCTCACAATGACTTCCTCCAAGGGTAGACAACACCTACTTAAAGATGCTGTACAGAAGGTTCTGCACATTCCAGAATTCTAATTTGTGATTATTTACTAGGATGATCATAATTATCAACAGGGTTACTTTGAAAACTAACAATTGAAAAGGCTCTGAATCTGCTCCAAATAGTTCTGTGATCTCTCCTACTATCATGGCCAAATTTCAACTAGCACTAGCAAAGATTCTATTCATCAAGGCCTCACATCCAGCCTGCCCTGCCTCACCAGTAGTGCCTCTCTCCTGTACTCCCTTCTCTGGTTCCCAGGAAACGTCCCCACTTTTCCCAGCCCAGATCCATCCCTTAGCCATAGTCGGTAAGTCCTTTAAAGAACACAGCAATATGATCTACTCTAGAAAGAGGGTATGGCAACAAGTACATCAACAGGAAAGAAGGAAACCTGTCTTCAAAGGAGGCCACTGGAGAGCCAAACTGAAGCCTGGGAAGGGGAACAAAGAAACATAGGCATAGCTGTATAGGGAAGAGGACTAATGTGTAAAAATACTGGTTTAAAAAAAGGCAAGAAGGAAACTGCATCATAGAGCTGCAAAGGGGTGATGATTAGATCATGGGGAAAGGTGGGAAAGAAAGAGACATGGAAACAAAAAGGCTGACAGAATTTGTAAAACGAGAACCATACACAGAACGGTGCATAATTATGAATTGTTGAAAGGGGATGCTATGGGCACATGGACTATATACAAGGCGGGTATCACCCCAAATGACAAGCAATGCTGGGGACACACATGGTCTCTCCTGGGAGAGATGGGCAGAAGGTCAACAGACACACACACGTTAGCAAGCAAGGAAGAGGGAAACCATCGGGAAGAGGTGCAGGTTGCAGAAAGAGGAGAAGAGGGGACGAGGTAGAGAAAGGAGGAAAATTGAGCTGAACTGGGAATGGCCAAAAAGCAAACTGATTAAATCCAGAAAGGGCCAAAGAGGAAACTCCAGTGTACCGGGCAACGTTTTGAGGGAAATTTGGGTGCACTCAAAAGTGGGGTTACTCACTGTGGAGGACTCCCTGTTTCTCTTCCTGAGTACAGGCCCCTCAGCACACCTGGGCAGCTCCTCCCCGCAATTGAGAGAATTTGGATAGCCCTGTCCCCTTCTCTATGACATCACATCCTACTCTACAAAGGAAGTAAAAGTGCCAAGAATTACATTGTGGAGTGGATGAGAGGCGGGAAGGAAATGATGAAGCCACACAGAACACCAGAAGCCACCCTGAGTTCCTGCAAGACAGAGAAAGGAGACAGAGAAGGAGAGGTTCCTGGTCGTGAACAAGCGTCACTGAACTAGCCATGTGGACATGAACAGGATGAGAGAGAGAGAGAGAAAGAGAAATCACCTTCACAGAAAAGAACACTGATACTGTCAAAATAATGAGACACATGGTAGAGACATGAATCAGACTCACAGGCAGCCATACTCGAACACAGCAAAATAGAAAATACAATTCTCATTTTCCATCGGTGATAATCCTTTAAAATGACCTTATTTTGGGATAGTCAAAATTGGAAAAAAAAAAAAAAAGCAAACTCATACCTGTATTATAGAAAACAAAATGTACCCATAAGCCTACAGGCAAGAATATTAACCACTGCTAATATTTGTGTCTTCCTTTTAGTTTTTCCCCATCCACATATATCAATCTAATATACTTATATACAGCATGTGCACATATTGTTAGCTATTTAATTTTCTCCATGTAATATGAATTCTTCAAAATGTCATCATAATTAACACTTTACTGAAGACAGGCATTTGTATCATTTTAAAAATTAAATTAATAAATGATATATTGAATATAACTTTCTTAGAGTATTATTGAATCAAATGATGTGAGCTTGGTCATGTCACAATACACAGCCAACTGCTTCCAAAAAGATTTTAACAATTTATACTACCACCAAGCAGAACTAAAACTGCCTCTCTTACCACAACTTTACCAATATTCAGTATAATCTTTTAGTAGTATTTGTCAACTTACTAGGTCAAAATGCAATGGCTCATTGTTATTCTAATCATACTTCTGCAAATACTAATGAAGACAAAGTTTTTTTTTCCCCAAATTAATATCAAATGCAATACGACAGGATATTTGTTTTCCTTATTGATGTATAAAAAGCTCTTCATATAGTAAAATAGTATTTATTACTTTGCATATTAATAATATTTATTCTTTTTGTTACTTCTTCTTTGGATATTTTAGGGAGATTTGCAAAGTTTTCTATTTTCCCATCAACGCTCCATCAGTTTATTCCATTGTGACTTCTGTCTTATGTCTCGAAATTCCTTATAACCAGAGAACATGCAAATATCTACAAATATTTTTAAGGTATATTTATAGTTTTACTTTTTAATTCATCTGGAATTTATTATTTTGTAGCAAGGTGAAACACCAACGTAAGCCCACCACCTATAAGTAAGTCAAGATCCCCCCACTACAATTTGTTTCCTAAGCTAGTCATGGTTCCTGAGTCATCCTCTACCATATATTAATACTACAGAAATGAAAACTCTTTTGGATGGGAAACCAAATAAATGTGGGAACCCGATATATAAAATGCACAAAAGCAAGCTATTCTTGTTAAGGTGGAGATGAAAGTGCTCAGAGCCCCCATATTATTCCCTCTAATGGCCAAAGGCACTTCTGGCAATCTTCAGGGTGTCTAAAAACTAGGCTGCAAACCATTCATTGTCCCTGGGGCTCATCCAGGATCCAGAGATCCCCTGAACTTTCAGTCAACTGCAGTGCCAGCACTACACCATTCTGAATTGCTCTAATATTACAATACACTTCACTATCTGGTTCAGCCACTGCTCTCATTATTCCTTAAATTTTTAATTGTTCACTTCTTTATATTTCCAGATGAAATTTAGATTGGAATTAAATGAGACATCTAATTAAATTTTTAAGCAATTTACACAGTGTTCCATGTGTTTAAGTTTTGTTTTATAAACTGCAATAAGCATTTTATTGTTTATATTTTCAGTTGCAACTATGAATACACTTTTTCATATAATATTCTCACGTTTTATTGGGAAGACACACAAAAGCCATTGAATTGTGATAATTACTATCTATACGAACATCTAATTGAATTCTTAATAGTCCTAACTGTATAGAAGTACAGAATCATATTTTCTATAAATAATGTGAATTGGGTCTCCTTTCCAACACTTCCATGTTGTCTCTTTCCTACATTATTTACTTTGGATAAAAACTGATCTTTTCTAGTCCCTTTCAAAAAATTCTGCTGAAAATTGAGCTGCTTTGTCATTTATTTCCTCAAATACAGCCCCCCCCCCAAACTGCTGAGTTTCCCAAAGAATATCCATAGCTACAACTATCAGCTGCCCTGCCAAGGGAAGACTGTAATTAGAAACTACTGGCCAGATATCAAGTCTCTTCTATACAAATTGGTCTGTCACAGTGCTTAATCTTTACATAAAATGCCTTTCCTTTCTTTGTAAAAACAAATTGCCCTCCTGTGTTCAAGCCATATTTGTGAGTCCACTTTACTCTTACTCTCTAGGAGCTGTGTCTTATACGTCTCATGCTTTCGCCTGATGCACTAAAGTCCTTTCAGTCCTCCTTTGCCTTTCTTCTGCAGCAATACTCCACAGTAGGTTTCAAATTTAGCATCACTCTCTATAAAGGGGGATTTCCATGGTGAGGGATACAAAGTTTGTATATAATCTGCTACCTTCCTACCAATGAATCCCCTAGTATTTTTCAAGGCCCTGAAGAGACATATAGAATTGCCAAATACACCACTGGATTTCACCTTCTCTATTGATGTAACCATCTCAGAGCCTATCTCAAAAAATGTCTAGACTCCTACTACTTTGAGACAAGACAGACTTATCCCAGAAAACTCCTCCTCCAGACTTCTACATGTCCCAGTAGGAGAAAAAAAAAAAACCTGCAAAAAAAGGATAGTAATCTAGTTAAGAGAAGGAGAGAGATAGTTTGCCATATGATTAAGGTTACAGGCCAACCTAAGAATGTATTTTTCTATATTTTAGG